GTCTTTTGGAAAGAAAGTGGGCTTGCCTGCCTGGAGCTCAGAAGCAAGGGCTGAGTAAAGAGGAGGTCACCCTTCAGGGAAACCTGAGACACCTGCTCAGAGCTCTCTTCCTTCCAGCCTGTCTTGGTGGCTGGTGAGAATCCCACCTCGGGAGATGAATCTCTTTGGTTTGTGTTGTGGGAAGATGTCATAAATCTACTCAATATGTAGATACTAAGAACAGCTTAGATGATAAGACTTGGGAAATAAGGAGGGAGGGAGGTGAAGTATAGACAGGGCTGGGCTGTCAGAACTACGTAAACTGACAGATGCAAAATGCAAACCTACTTCCCGCCCCATACACAGAACTTAGCATGAGCCAGCAGGGGCTAGAGAGTTTCACATTTGTTGCTGACTAAATCCTACATGTTGTCCCTCCTGTTTTACAGTTAAGGAACTCAAGGCTAAGAGAAAATACCCAGGCGAAGTGTGTATCATTGGTGCATCTACTCAGCTTCCTCTTGCCTCAGGGGATGCCAGTCATTCCACTCTGACAGCTATACCAGTTAGATGCTTTTATAGTCCTTTCCTCAGTTTTTTTTTGCTTATAGCTGGGTCCCAGGGCTTTCCAGGCTCACCCTGGAGCTCCACAACTGTTGGGACTGCTCCAGCTGTTCTCATTGGGATATGGCAGGTCTAGATAATCTACATTCCTCTGAGCAAGGCTCCTACTCTAGGGAACTCCAGGGCTCATGCTAGAGTCTAGGGTCTTCTCTTTGTCCCTCACACCCTCGAATCCTTAGATATCGCTCCTCTAAACTAGGCCCAGTTTCCAGTAACTGGAGATGTGCCTCATAGCTGTTTTTCACCCTGATCTGAACCTCCAGCATCCTGAGAATCAAGACATGGCAGGTGGTTGTGGTGAGGGAACCTTTACTGCAGAACAACAATGAATTCCCTGAGGGTTGGTATGATAGAAGCAAAATGACAATGAAAAATCACTGTAGAGCCATCAGGTGGTATGCTAATTAAATTGCTGTTCTCCTACATGACTGACCACAGTTTGAGTCCCAGACCCGGTGGCTCGAAAATCACACTGGGGGTGTGTGTGTGCATGCCCCAAATCCTAGGAGGAGAATGGAGAAGAAGGGATTGTGGTGTGGCCATCCCCCCGGGAGGGAACTTCTCACTTTTCCACTCATTGTCTCTTTCTCTCTCTCTTTCGAGTGTATGCACACTATGTCAAAAAACTAAAAAAAAGAAGGAGGGGGTGCAGGAGGGAGGGAATCAAAGGGGAAAAAAGGCAAAACATTTAATGAATACAAAAATGGAAAATCATCTGTTGATGATAATGTATATGGTAGTATCTTTGACTGGACCAGTATGCAGTGTATTTGTGCTGGGAAAGGTCACTGCATATCCTGTAAAGATGAATATTCATTAAATGTAAAAAGGAAAATTAATAAATATCATTTTGAAGTCTAAAAAAAAAAAGAAAAATCACTGTAAGACAGGAATGCACAGAGCTTTATCACATGCTGTAGCACTACAAGAGCTAGCATTTTATGCAGGTCAAATCATGTTTGTGAAACTCCCAACTGGACAACGGGTCCTGATGAGATGTGATCAGGAACATGGCCACCAACCTTCCATCTGATCTCCTTCCCTCTTTATCCACTGCCAACATCAGGGAAGTAGCCTATTTTTCCTCAGGCTCCAGTTCAATTACTTTGAGCAAAATGTGAAAGAAAGTAATTATGTCAACAAAAAGGATTCTACATGTTCATGGAGGAGATGGGCTGTAACTTGCTGTCAGTTGCCCCAGCCTCACCCAGATGTCCTGTCATAAACATTGATCTGAGGAATAACACTGAGTTCAATCTGACTTAAAGAGAGCAATATTATTAGCAGGGAAAACTAAGAATTGTTCATATTTTTCCATCAAACATAGGGTATACAACTGTGCAGAAAAGGGTGTCACAAAAAGAAAAGTTAACCAACTTGTGGTTTATATGTGAAATCAAAACAAACTCACACCAAGTGTATCCTGCTCTTCTAGGAGGATGTGCAGATGTAGGCCAGTAACAACTTGATTTTGTAAATATTTATTTTGCCATTACTGTGTGCAAAGCATCAGGCAGGCTGAGTTGTGGAGATATCAATGCTAAGAGACCACAGAATTCTTGAGACCCACAGTGTTACTTGGAATTCAATGCTGGTGAGCTGTGCCCCAACGCCCATGAACTCTGAGGGCTCAGGGGTGTGTTTAAATTGCTGCTGCTGATCATCCCTGATCATCTCAAAACCAACAATCAGCATGAATGGAGTTCTTTCTCTCAGCTCTCTCAAATCAGATTTCTTGTTGGGAGGGGGCACAACAAACCCAAACTGTAGCCTTTTATTATCTTTTCCTGTTCTTTTTATAAGTTTCAAGAGGAGGAAATGCTACAACATTGTTCTTTTCTGATCCTTGAACTCATCTCAACAAAGTGTACTCTTGGCCTTCTGTATCCCAGCCTGGACCATGCCTCTCTTTCTTTTCCACACACAGGGACTAAACAGTTTACTCTGGACCCCTGCTCTGTTCTTCCTTTTCCAAAGTTCCTAAATTTTCAATTTTAAGTATATTTTAATTTATTTTTTCCATTAGCGAGACAAAGAAACAACTGCCAACAAGGTCCTCATGTCACAATCCAGCTCCAGCTCTACCCAGCCCTGGATCATGGGCATGAGCAGGCCGGGCATATTCAGGGAGGTCTCTGGAAGCAGACGGGAGCCTTTCCATGTGGGTCGGCCTTGAAGAGCATGGCAATTTATGGCTGGACCACTTTCCAGCCCCAAAGTTTCTTGTCCCCAGTTTCTCTACAATTTTGCTGAACCCCTTTATGCTAGGCTTGGGGTGATGGTTTGATTTTTTTAAAAAATGCTACCACATATGCATCTGGGTTATTTATTACGGTTTAACCCATCTCTGGCCCCTTTCAATAATTTAGTTCAGCAAGGCATTTAACAACATTTGGGAGCTGAACTCAACTCCTATGTTTTATGAGCCTCTGTCACTTAAATTGGACATTGTTCCTAAGTCTTAGTTGCCAACCTAATTTTACTGCATCTTCCTTCCTTCCTTCCTTCCTTCCTTCCTTCTTTCTTTCTTTCTTTCTTTCTTTCTTTCTCTCTTTTTCTTTCTTTCTTTCTTTCTTTCTTTCTTTCTCTCTTTTTCTTTCTTTCTTTCTTTCTTTCTTTCTTTCTCTCTTTTTCTTTCTTTCTTTCTTTCTTTCTTTCTTTCTCTCTTTTTCTTTCTTTCTTTCTTTCTTTCTTTCTTTCTTTCTTTTTCTTTCTCTCTCTCTCTCTTCTTCTCTTTCTCTCTTTTCTTCTTTCTTTTTCTTTCATCTCTCTCTCCTCTTTGTAGTAGAGTTTTTTTGCCTTAGGGTGCATGTGCTTGCTGGAGAGAGACAGACACAGTGAGAGGGAAAGTGAGAACTCTCTCCCCTCCTCCCGCCCTTAGTGGGATGGGCATGATGCAATCCCTTCTCCTCCTGGGATCTTGGGAAAACACATACATGCACGTGGCATAATTTTGAAGCCATTGGGTTGGGAACTCGAACCACAGCAGGCCATGCGGGAGTCCAGTGACATAACTGCTATGCTACCTACTGGCCTCTACTGGAATTATTTTAAACCCCAGGTTTTGGGGCCAGCACGTGGTGTAGTGGTTAAGGCTTTGGACTCCCACATGATCCACCTTGGTCCCCGTCCTGGACCTGGAGGCTTGTTTTCTCACTTTCTCTCTCTTTGCCTCTCTTTGGAGAGCAACTATGCCATATAGCAAATTAAATAATAATAATGATAAGAATAAATAAAATTAAATAAATGATACTAAAAAATAAACTGCAGGGTTTCAGCATTTTGAACCTCTGAAGTTTCTTTCTTTCTTTTTAAAAATCGATACTGAGGGACCAGCAGGTGGAGCTGTAATTAAAGGTGCTGGACTCCCACATGGCTGACCTGGCAGCTTGCTTTCCCACTTTCTAGTCCTGGACCTGGTGGCTTGAAACTCATACCAGGCGCACGTGCATATGTGCCCCAAATCCTAGGAGGAGAATGGAGGAGAAGGGATTGTGACATGGTGATTTCTCACTTTCCCTTTCACTGTCTCTCTCTGTCTCTTCTGTAAGCTCATGTGACCTTCGCAAAAATCTTAAACAAACAAACAAAGCAAACAAAAAAAACTATACTGAAGGGCCAGCAGGTGGCATGGTGGTGAAGGCGCTAAACTCCTACATGGCTTACTGTGGTTTGAGTCCCAGACCTGACAGCTTGCTTTCTCACTTTCTCTTTCTCTCTCTGTGTGTCTCTCTGGTTAGTGCACATTTAAAAATAATAATATTAATAATAAATTGAATAAAAAACTATACTGAACTGTTTGGTAATAAGAGCTAGCATTTATAGAGACCAAACTATGTGCAGAGAATGCTTTGAGGTAGACACAACTAGTATTACCATTTTTAGATGGGGTGGAATTTACAGAGAGTAAATGACTTACTCAAGGTCACACACAAGGTAGTTGAGCCGAGAATTATGCTCATTTGAGTAGAGGGATCTGGTGTTCATTCTTATCTGCTATCTCCCTTTCTTAGGATGGGTGGCCTGGATAGTTTATTCAGCTTCTTGAGCTTCAGTTTCCTTTTCAATAAAACGGATAAAGCTTTCTTGGAGAGATGCTGAGGGGCCTGTCAATCCCTAGCACTCATAAATTAATGCTCTGTTGCCCCCAGGCTGATCAGCAGGGCTGATTCCCGCTCCTCTAAGGTCGCCCATTCTCTAGTGGGGCGTCCAGTAGCATCCTTTTAAGACAAATCGTCCAAGGGATTACTATGGCTACATCCACCTGGCACACTGGCCAGCCTCGCTTTACCTGCGCACCTCTGCGCCCTGGTCTTAGACTTACAAAGCCCAGCTATCCGCGCTTCCCTCTCTGACCCGGACCCCGACCCAAGCCCCCGCGGGAGCTCCCCACTTACCATGGCATCGTAGCGCAGGGCGTTCATGAAGTGCGCCACCTCGATGCCCTTGTACACGGTGAACCAGATAGTGCCCTGGTACTGGTCGCCGGCGTCGAGCAGCAGCACGTTGGGCTCTGCGCGCCGGATCTGCTGCACCTTGGTGAAGAGCCGCGCCACGCCGCCGACGCAGCGGCTGGCATTGACGCACTTGCTGGAGTCCTCGCTGGTCTGCTCCAGCCGGCTGTGCACGTCGTTGGTGTGCAGGATCGTCAGTTCCCAGGCGCCAGCCGCGGACCAGAGCAGCGCGCCCAGCGTGAGAAGCAGCGCCGAGGCTCGCCCGGCTCGGGGACACATGACTGCGGCACGCGGAGCGGGCGCCAGTGCGGGGAGCGAGGCGAGCGCCGGCGAGTGCGGGCTCGTTGGCCCCGGCCGAGGCTGGGCGCCCTGACCGGAGGGGCGGAGTCGGAGCCGGGGCCGTGGTGGGCTGTCCTTCAGCGCCCAGGCCCGCCCGGCGGCTTAGGCGCACGCCCGCGCTGTCACACGATCCGAATGTGGCGGGGGG